ATCCTAGCTAGGAATATCTAGGACAGTGGCGGATTTACTGGTCTATTGGCACTGTTTTTCAACTTTGGCAACTGTTAAATTGGGTGGACTTCAACTCCCACAATTGACCTGGCTGGGGAATTCTGGGAGTTGAAGCCCTCCCATCTCAAAGCATGCTGGGTGGGGGATTCTGGGAGTTGAAGTCCACCCATCTCAAAGCATGCTGGCTGGGGGATTCTGGGAGTTGAAGTCCAGACATCTTAAAGCACGCTGGCAGGGGAATTCTGGGAGTTGAAGCCCTCCCATCTCAAAGCATGCTGGCTGGGGGATTCTGGGAGTTGAAGTCCACCCATCTCAAAGCATGCTGGCTGGGGGATTCTGGGAGTTGAAGTCCACCCATCTCAAAGCATGCTGGCTGGGGGATTCTGGGAGTTGAAGTCCACCCATCCCAAAGCATGCTGGCTGGGGGATTCTGGGAGTTGAAGTCCAGACATCTTAAAGCACGCTGGCAGGGGAATTCTGGGAGTTGAAGCCCTCCCATCTCAAAGCATGCTGAGTGGGGAATTCTGGGAGTTGAAGACCACCCATCTCAAAGCCTGCTGGCTGGGGAATTCTGGGAGTTGAAGTTCAATCATCTCCGAGTCCGCTCCCCGAGCGCTGTGCCTTCCCCTCCATCCAAATCCGAAAACACAGTGCAAATTTTCTCTTCCCCCCCCCCACCTCCCTACACGCCCCTGCCCTCAACTGGAGGGAGAACGGCCCACCCACCAGAAAGAAAGGAAACAATAGCTGCAGAAGAGAAGCAGAGAAGAAGATTGAAAGAGAGAAGGAGGGAGGGGAAAAAAAAACCCTGCCCCTTCCCTAATGTTTTGGAAAAACACTTTGATGTCAAGGGACCAGTGCTGTGAAAGTGGGGAAGGGGCTGCATCCAGGAGCTCTAGCCAATCACCCGGTCCTGGGTGAGAATTCTGTTTGTTTCCAAAGTCAATTAGTTGGAACCGCGAGGTTTTCTTGGGGAAGAGAAAAGCTTAGCGGGGGGGGGGAGGCTTGGCCCCCAAATGGGTCTCCCCATCTGCAAATCCGCCCCGGTGCTCAGCTTTCATTTTTCCACGGAGGGGGCAACCATGTGCCCTGGGGGGAAGAGGACAAATCTCGTCCAATTGGAAGGAGAGCAGGAAGAAGCAAGATCTGGGCTGGAAAGGACTGGAGAACACAACGTTACCGGAGGATTACAGAATTTGGAAGGGACCTTGTAGGTCATCTAGTCCACCCCCGCCCCTGCTCCAGCAGGAGACCCTCTCCCATTTCTGACAAGTGGCTGTCCAGTCTCTTCTTGAAAGCCTCCAGGGATGGAGCACCCACGATTTCTGGAGGCAAGCTGTTCCACTGGTTAATTGTTCTCCCCGTCAGGAAACCTCTCCTTATTTCTAGGTTGAATCTCTCCTTGGTCAGTTTCCATCCCTTGTTCCTTGTCTGACCTTTGGAGAATAGATTCTCTCCCTCTTTTTTTTTTTTGTGGCAGCCCCTCAAATACCGGACTACTGCTTTTGTGTGTGTCCCCCCCCCCCCGGTCCTTTTGTTCATTAAACTAGACATACCGAATTCCTGCAACCGTTCTTTATAGGGTTTGGCCTCCAGTCCCCTGATCATCTTTGTTGCTCTTCTCTGCACTCTTTCTAGAGTCTCG